TGCATAGCACATGCGATATCAATTTGAGTGGAGAGGACTCTCAACAAAGAGACTATAGAAGCTTCCAGCAATATATGTACAGGGCACTTAGTCCTGTCCATTATGTTGACAAGTTGAAGGCTCTCATCTTTCTCTTTCCGTTTTTCTTTCAGCTATGGGTATTTTTTACTGGGAATGAATTCTTGATAGATGACAAGACAACATAAACATGATGAAGTGTAAAAAAGAAAGAAGACAATTAATGGTGAAGCTCAAGTATGTATTGTCTCTTTCAGTAGACGATTATCATAAATTCCTTCATAATGTATAGAAAGCCAGGCCACCAATTTTTTTCAGTAAGAAACACAAAACTGGTGTTCTTGATATATGACATGCCATTTCAATTACCCAATTTAGAAAACATTATGTTTCTTTATTTATCTTTTTAATAAATAGTTAAATGTTTACAATAGTAGTGTGCAAACACATCCAAACTCAAAATGTGCAACTTACAAGATAGTTTGCAGTCTATCAAAAATCAATAAAGGATAAATCAAGCACAAAATCAAAACAAATTGTCGTCTTTGATATTAAGAAAAGGATTTATTGCTCCACTGCCGGGGCAGCTGTCCAGGTACACACGAAACATACAGTCAATCAATTATTATCAATTATAACATGTCCTCTATTTAGGTACAATTTACCAACAAATAATCTCAAATAAGAGAAGTCTAGAAACCAATGTTCCTTGTTACTAATTCAAAACGTAAATGAATGCTGATTCCCCAATTTTCTAGCATGACAACCAAACCCTTCCAAACTAAATCATTGCTTTCCCCATGAAAAGATTTTCTCACTATTGACAATTAACTGATGAAAATGAAGACTGAGATCCAGTAACAATACAGATAACACTACAACAAACTAAGCCTTTTTCTTTGGGCTCAGCTAGAGAGTCTCGCACTATGAAAGAAGAGAATAATATTGCACAAAACTCAAGTTACATATTCCTAATCATGAAAATATTGTTTTCATGGAATCTTGGAATTAAATAGAATTGAAAGTTATTTCCCATTTAGCATCTTCTACAAAATCCTTCTAGTATTTAACACTGTAAGTAAACATGCTATCTGACCATAAGATTAATGTCAATGGATCCATGTTGATATGGCCATTTAGGCCCTTTTTGGTATAGATTATTTATAACTCATTTTTCCCCAAACTCATCTTCAATCACACATTCTCCCAATAAAATAATTTTGCACATGGACTTCTAACTTTTTCTTACATTTTAACCATACATTCTCAAAACATATCACTTTTCAAAAAATGTATTCTAAAAAAATTTACATCAATACAGGCCATAAACGAAAGGAATCAAGAGAAAAGAATAATCTTGATATCAATGTGCATATACAAAGCTCAGTATGCACTCACAATTGGTCCATTCTTCAAAGCATGCTCCTTGGCAAACTTGCATGCTTGTTTAACAGCAAAGACATCCATACCATCTACCTGTTTCAAGGCATGAATGTGCAATGAAACACATTCATAGAAATATATTACAAACAACATAGAAAAGAAACAACTTTTTCACCAGACAATAAAATATTCAATTTCTTCAAAAATATAACATAGGAAAGTGGAGCTCGGAAGCTTTAATTCAAGTTTAATGGCCTGAACAGTGCTACCGCTATTGATGTAAAGAAAGAATAAATGAAAGTACATTACGAAGTGGTAGACATTTTCTTTCAAACCTAACTAGGAAAGCGGCATAAAGTTAAGGGCTTCAAACTGAAGAAAGATTAATCAAAATTTCTACCAAATTCACACACTTCTAGAATTCTGTATCTTCCAATTCTAGTAGAGAAAAATTATTCCATAAGAATTGTATCAGAAAAATGAAAGACAACAAACATAACATCCATGTCAACCAATATTGAACTTGCCTTCAAACCAGGAACATAATCCCCTCTCTTGTAATAAGCTGGACTCTTTGCTGCCCTCCATTCTGCTGTCCCCATCCCATCTGCAGCAATAATCCAATTGAAAGAATCAAAAATCCTACTTTAATTATATCCACCCAATCAGACACAGATATCTCCACCAAAGAACTTATAAACTGATTAAAAATGGCATGTACAACATCAAACACAACTAAATTAGCATAGATGTGTAATTACTCATGACAAAGGAAAAGTTTATTTGCATCAATAAAAACCAACACTTTTACATCCAAATCTATAATTGCTTCATCCGTTACCCCAATCTTTAAGTAAGGTACAACATTGATGTTTGCAGTTGAAGTACAAAACATTGGTAGCAAAACTATCAAATGGCACTTTATTCACCAATGGGATCTCTAATTCAAAAACACATAAAATTATCAAATCACAGACTATACAAAAACATCCGTTTGATTATATAATTGAAAAAACAATACTAGAAATGAATCTTTTAGAACAGAGCCATTGGTATACACAGCCTTGAACCATGAGAACAGACACTTATTCGTGAAAACCAATTTCGCAAAAATCATTGCCTACCATTATAGTTAACTCCAATAGTCTCGCTCTATAACCATTTCATTACTTACAGTGATTATTCTCGCAGACCAGAATCGCAGGCAGATCCCACAGAGCAGCCATATTCAATGCCTCGAACAACTGCCCCTGATTCGCCGCACCATCACCGTACAAAGCAAATGTCACAGTCTCATCTTTACTGTATTTCTGTGCAAAAGCCAATCCACACCCCAATGGAATCTGTGCCCCCACGATCCCATGCCCTCCATAAAAACCGCTATCCTTCTTGTAAAAATGCATCGAGCCTCCTTTCCCTTTAGAACATCCATCCTTTCGCCCCATAAGCTCCGCAAAGCATTGGAGAAGGGTTCCACCGCGACCAAGGAAAATACAGTGGTCGCGATATGCCGTGATTATGCAATCTTTCTTAGTAATCGCGGCCTCCATACCCACTGCCACTGCTTCCTGACCATCGTAAAGGTGACAGAATCCCCTAATCAATTTCGCCTTATATAAAGAGTCGGCAGCGATTTCCATCCGACGCATAAGAGCCATGTCGCGAAAGAAGGTCATAAGCTCCTGAGGAGTGGTCTCGACGGAGCGAGACGGCGGATCGATCCTGTGGCCAGTGAAGGGGAGAGATGTCTCGACGGTGATTGGGGTGGTAGAGGTGGTGGTGGTGAGGAGGCGCGTGGATGAAAGTGCGACGGAGAAGGGTTTCAAGAGATCCGTGGCCCGGCGAGTCAACTGAGCCATTTTGGCCGTTGGATTTGGCTGACTTCTAGGTTGGACGTTGGAGATTTTAGTCTAGTTTGTGATTGAATCTGTACCTGGCTGTTAACGGACTGAAGCCTGAAGGGGTGAATTGGGGGGTTTGGCGAGGGAGGAGAAATGGAAGAGAATAACGGAATTTTGGAGAGTAACGGGGAAAACTATGGAAAAATTGAAAAGTCCGTGGATGGGTGCGGAATTAAAAATAAAAATACAATAATAACTTTCAAAATAATAGTAAATCAAATTAAAATTTTTAATCAAAATTAAAAATTATTTTTAACTGTATATTTTATGGAACCCATAAATTTTCAACAATATATTTTATCAATTTTTATCAAATGATGTATTATGTAAAGTTCAATGATGAATTTGTAAGAAATTAAAATTCAATGACTAAGAATGATCTTAAATGCAAAATTCAGTGACCAATTCATCAATAAAAAATAAAAATAACACGATTATGTTCGTACATTTCATGTGATAATCCAAGGGATGGTTGGGTAGGTTCAATAACTCCATATGAATGCTGTGCCGTAAAAATTAGAGGGTTAAGTGTGAATGGTTCAATAACTCCGTGAAAGTTAGAGGGTAGTTAAAAAACCATTGTATCTCGAATTAGGAACTACGCGCATTTTTATGATTTAACGTCAGAGAATGATACTGTTATAATAAGTGAAATATAGTTTTTAACGTGACCAAAAATATGAAAAAATATATAAGTATAAAAGATTTCGAAATACACTTTTTAAACAAAAGAAACTTGTTAAAAGGAATTTAAAATTAGTTTGTTGCATTTATGATCATAATACCACTAGATAAAATTTTTTGACCAATTAATTAATTAAACATGTTAAGGTCACATGACACTCAATTTATGGCCATAGCCACGTATTAGTCAGTAATCATAAATCATGCAATATCACTGTTACAAAGACAAATTATAGGTCATAATTACAAATTTAGTCTTAAATCACACATTTTTATAGTTCACAAATAACCTAATTAACTAGTCTTAATCACTTCATTTCATCCTACTCCACCTTACCCCCACTCCACTAGCGTCGGCATCACCCAAAATGTTGTCGCCATCTCAAATCCACAACACACTAGCACCACCTCCATCGCACCACCACTTGCACCTCCAACAGATCAGTACACTGCAACCGTCATCTTCAACGCACCGCCCCAAATCCCCCTAACAATATGAGAATTATAAATTAATTAAGCTCTAATGGCGTAGCCACCACCTATTCACCCTCAATCGCCACCAAAGTCATCGGGCCCACCCATTGACAGAAACAACTACCCAACACCTCCTCACCTTTGATTGGAGACTCAGCCCCTCATGTAGGCCCCAGTTCCAAAATTAGAAAGGAAAAACACACCAAACGGATCTAAATGTTACAAAATCCTCCTCCGTCACTAAAACTCCACTCATTTCATCGACCTCCTCAGAAGTTCCAAAATTAGAAAGGAAAATCGCTCCAAACGGATCTAAATGTTACAAAATCCTCCTCCGTCACTAAAACACCATTCATGTCGTCGACCTTCTCAGATGCACCCACCAACACCTTGGGTCCCTTCCAATTCAACCCTAATTATGAACCCGAACCACATGTGCCTCGAGTCACATGCAACCCTTCGTGCATGCAAATTGAGAACATCGTTTTGGCCACTTTTGGTGGGAATCAGTTCTTAGGACTACTTCAAATGGCTTCAAAACATGCAAAAACCCCATAACTACCCCTATAGCGTCCAATTTGGCTCGTAAAGCGACATTGGATTCCATGCTGGCCAATTGTAGTGGAGAGTAGATCCATTAGAAGCAATGTTTGCGACGACGGCGTTGGTGGGCCGAGCCGGCTCGACCCTTAAAGCAGAAGGAAGAACAATTTTAGAAAAAATAAGCAGAAGGAAGAACAATCACATTGTAAATTTTTTTTCTTTTTAATCAAACAATACACTCGGCCCTTAAAGCACAAGGAAGAACAATTTTAGAAAAAATAAGCAGAAGGAAGAACAATCACATTGTAATTTTTTTTTTCTGTTTAATCAAACAATACACATTAACTTAATCAACGTATAATTAAGGAAGAGATGAAAATTATATCGACGATTGTCTAAGATGTAAATCTTGAACTCCTTAAACTGGTCAATCTCCCAAAGCTCCACAATTCTTTCTAAACGTATCTCTGTTTATAAGGAACAAACGAGTGGACATTTCGAATTTGGGTCTGATTCACATACTCACTTTATGATTTCATTTTTTGTTTTCAACACATGAGACAAGGTGAGAAGTCAGGTAAATTTCTATATTCTATATGTTCTCTTCTGAGTATCTAATGAATCCTATTTATAGTTGAAAAATAAAGTTTTATTTTAATTTTTTAATTAACAATTTAATTAAAAAACCAAAACCATACCTATCACTAGGATGAAGTGGCGCCACTTTACTCGAAGAAATATTTTCTCTATAATCACATTATTTAAAATAAAATTAATCCAATTAATTAATACGCGAAAATCAATTCAGAATTCATAACTTTAAGAGTGTTTTTGATACACATTTTTTAGGATAGAATACATTTTTTTTGGTGACGTAATGGTGAATATGTGGTTGAAAAAGAAGGAAAAGTTATTATTGATGTGATGAAAAAATTTATTTTATTGAATAATGTGTGGTTGAAAATAAGTAGAAGAATGATAATGTGGCTCAAATATGAGCTAAATTAATTAATCTAACCCAACTAAAATAATGTTCATGTAATTTTAACGGAGCCGACGAGAGGAACTATGGACAATATAATTTTAAGCTCCAATAATGATGACAATTAATTAACACTTTAATTATTATGTCAAAATTATTAATCCCAAATTATTCCACTAAAAAATTGGAATTGCACTTATAAAATTATAAAACAAATTATATTCAAGAGATTTGAACTCTCCATTGTTATCAATGTTGTAAAAACCGGCCCGGCCTGGCCTGGCCTGGCCTGGCTGGTTCGACCGGTAAAATCGGGCCAAATCATGTCCGATTTTTTATTATTGACAAAACCGTTTAAAATCCATCGAACCAGCCGGTTCAATCGTAACCCGGTGAACCCGTAGCGGTTTTGAGCGGTTGTCACGAATTTTTTTTTTTTTTTAGATTAAAAATTTTTAACTTCATGAATGGCCTTTATAATTTACAATTCAAAGGCCCATGGAGAATTATTGGATGTCATGCTCATTTTATAGATGCACTTATCTTCAAATGTTTCATAAACTTTCAATATGGGATTGTGCCTTTTATATATTCTCTTAACTCTAATAGTTTCATAAACTTCCAATGTGAGATAGTGGCATAACAAAAAAAAAGATATCATTTTCTATAAGTTGAAACTATTTTAATTTAACAAAGTAAACTATTTTAACAGATTGATTTTTAATATTTGAAGTATCGAGACTAATTGTAGGATAATGAATCAAATTAATAAAGATAGATTTACTTTGAATTATTAATATGAAAATTTTAAAAAAATAATATTGTTTTCATAGTATTTTATTATTTTTGTATGTATTTATTGCATCTGGTTCGACCCCGATTGAACCTTTTGACCCTTGACCCTTGACCTTTTTCGGGTCGATGACCGGGTCGGTTTTCAAAACATTGATTGATATAGTCATTTCATATAGATCAATCCTCTATAAACAGTTCATAATTAAAGTTATGTATTTATTCGTAAACCTCTTTAATTATATATTTCTCCATAAGTCCCATTAATCATCTTATGAATAATATATTTTATGATCTAATCATAAAATTAATCGTTCTTATTTTACTAAGCTGAAGACCATTTGGGAAGAGCTTAGTAATTATCGACCTTCATTTTCACGTGAAAAGTGTAATTGTGGGGGAAATAAAAAAAATTGGCTGAACACTACCACATGGAATATGTTATGTCATTTTTAACGGGTTTAAATGAGTCATATGCTCAAGTTAGAGGACAACTATTGCTCACGGATCCAATTCCACCAATCAACAAAGTGTTTTCACTTATCTCTCAAGAAGACATCAACGATCTGTAAATGTGAGTGCTGGAACTACTGATTCATTAGCCTTTTTTTATTAGAAATGATGTTAAAATGAACAACACGGGGGCACTCCTATAGTAAAAATCAAAAGAAAGAAAGGCTTGTTTGTACCTATTGTGGAGGTGTAGGTCATGCTGTTGATAGATGCTACAAACTCTATGGATTTCCACCAGGATACAAGTCAAGGCAGAAATCCAACTTAACTAATCAAATAGGATCCAGTTCAAGCAATAAAACATGTTATAATGTTCAGTCAAGTAATGCTATTGCCAATCAAATTTCTGATTCTATTCCAGATAAACCAATTGGCAATGTTGGGAGCTTTGTACAAATGTTGAATTCTGACCAATATCAGTATCTATTGAGTTTGTTGAGCACACATCTTACGGATGCAAATGTGGAAGATGAAGGTGGTAATTCTGGTCATGTATCAGGTACATGTCTTTCCATTTCCATTAACCAAATACTTAGTTCTCCTGCACACTGGGTACTAGATTCGAGGGCAACCAACCATGTTTTTTTCAATCATGCATCTTTCCAAACATTGAAGGCCGTGCAGAATGTTTACATCAAACTACCTAATCATATTAGAATCCAAGTACAATTGGCTAGAACTGTTAAACTAACTCCTGAATACTTCTTGAAGACGTGTTATTTGTACCTCAATTCAAGTTCAACCTATTATCCATCAGTTCTTTGACAGGGAACTCAAGTATAAGCATCAAATTTTTCACCGATCATTGTGATATTTAGGACATATGCAGCTTGAAGATGATTGGTAGGGCTAAGAGAATTGGTGGTCTCTACATCATTGGTGCGATATCTAATGAGATGAAAAATGAATGTAATCTTTCTAAAGTCGTCTATAATCCTGTTTTTCTGTATTGAATAATGTGCCCTCACAT